GACCTAAAAACTGCAAATTGGAAAAAGCTAACTACCCCCAGTATTTAAAACCCGTTCTTTTTTTACATAACTCTGAATCAGATTCAACTCACTATTCTCTTGGAGCATCAGAAAAGCTTTTCTTCAGCAGAACTGGTTATTATCCCGCTATATGGATACTTAAAAAGCAACACGCACGTGCTTCTTGCAGTACATTCTTTCAGTGGAATTTATTGTGTTTTCCTGAGCTGTTGATTGCAGTCTTGTGGATCCTGGCTACTACCCTGACCAAATCAGCAGTGCTACTGGAAGAATAACTATAATCTCACGCTCTCCTTTTCCCAGGAAGGCAACTAGCGAAATAGATAGTTATGCTGTATTGCAGCTTCCTATAGCTGTTTTTGATTGCATTTTCCTCCCTAGTGCTACAATAAGAATTAAAGTCCAACTCTAGTGCAGTTTTCAGATGCTCTCCTGCTGTGCACTGATGCTCTGAATTGCCCAGTGATTCAGAGCTCTGATATTTCATGTCTAATGGAATTATTTTTGGATGGAATGGTTAGCTTTTCTGAAAGTGAGGGACTCAATAAACTTGGTAGGAGACAAATTACATGTGTCTACCCTGGCTTCCTTCGGAGCTTGCCTCAAAATCAAATTATCAGGCTGCACTTTTAAAAATTGGCCTTACGGCCTGAAAATATAAGCACCTTACAGTAAAACATGGGAGCACTGTGATTATGCAAAACACAGGGAAGTCAGGGTTACAAACAGACTTAAAAGAAACCCAGTTATGTCATAGCACAGAAGGACGAGACGGAGGGATCCAAAAGCTCTCTCTTCCCGCTTTGTAGATGATGCTATCAATAACTCTGTGTATTATAGGATTATATGCCTGGGAGGTGTGTGCAGCGTGCTGCCACATGAGGTGCGTTACGTAATTGCTGGATTAGAATTAAGGCCCTTTCCTGCTTGAAGCCTTGGTTTAAAGCGCTTCAGAAAAACTGTGTGGCTCCTGCCCCGAGTCCCCTCAGATGTGGCTGTGCTCCCTCCCAGGTGCGTGTGTCACCTCCCCAACCAGTGGCTGGCACTCCCAAATACCCCTCAAAACTAAGCTGGGATTTAAGATGGAAAGATGAGGTAGTGAGTGTGGACCAAACGCCTGCTGAAGACTCATGTGAGGGTTTTGTGGCCTGATCACAAAAAAATTATCCTTCCAATTTGAAAATATCTTTCCAATTAGTTCAGTTCCCAAATCAAGGAAGTGTCCTCCGAGCTCTATGCAGAAGGGTCCAGGCTGTGCAGAAAAGTGCAACACACCCTCCATAAGAGGCGATCCTGGCTGTTCCTGTCCTGCCATGGCTGGTCCTGTGAGGACACAACCATGGAGGGAGCTCAGCCCTGGCAGAAGCACCAGCACCACTGGGTTCCTGGGCCTTCTTGAGCCCCATGGGGATGAGCCCACCTCACATCTAGGTGTAGGGGGCTCAGCTGGAGGCTCCAGTGGGCAGAAGTCAGTCAGATGATACAGAGATGTCAATCCCTTTAGAGCAGGCCCGTTAGAGAGCAGTGGAATTAAGCCATCCTCTAGCATGTCCTGAGGACCACTGTGACTTTTCCAAGCCTTTCGGCACCATCAGCTTTGCCTGGGGTTGCAAAAGACCTGTTTTCTGAACAGAGTCACCTCAGATCGCTTGCCCCCAGAGAAAACCCTATCCACCCATGCTCATGAGAGGCACCAGCAACATGTGCAGAGGCCACAAAGGTCCTTTCTTTTTCAAAGGATTTGTTAATAACAAGATTGCGTAAGAACCAAATGGGCTTGCAAATAACTGTGTCCCATCAATCATGACAGCAAATGTTTGGCTGAATAAAATGTTTATTGTGGTTTATGAAGTGTTCTGCACACATAACCTTGGGCAAGACCCAGAAATTCTGGGCTCTGTGCTTAAAAGGCGCCTGGTTAAGCAGCCGTGGTGAGATGATCAAAAATCACTGTTTATTTGCTCAAAACATTAACCAAGTGATTAGCTGAGTAATGGGAAATAGAAAAGAAAGAGTGAACCTTTCTTTTTGTGTGGAGAGCAGTATTTTCCAGACTTTCCAGAGCTGTTTTGCATTTCTGGAAAACAAAATTAAGAGGAATTTGAAATAATTAACTCTGGTGACATACCAATCTAAACTTGCTTCAGTCTGTCTTATGCAGGCTAATCAAGATAAATCCATGAGAAGAACTTTACACAATCAAACCCAGGTGACTTCCTGCTATTTGATACATCTATATATTTAATATATCTTGTTATTTAATACATCATTACTCCTGTATTTTCATTTTAGCGGAAGAGCTTCTAGCAGGAGACTGCCTTTACTACCTAAAAATGAGTGATTCTGCTGCAGATATTTTCCCAAAGTCATTTCTGAATGAAGTTGATGCAAAGAAAATATTTAACTCTGCCTCAGGATTCTTAGTCTTCTTTGTTCTCTCCTGATTGTCCAAGCACTCCAGAGTCCCTTTTAAGCTTACAGTTTCTCATACCCTTAGAGATTTTAGTCGCTTGTAAGTTCTTTTTCCAGTCCACTAAATTGTCTTATGTTTTACCAGCTATAGTTGCCGTGCTTTCTGTTAGCTTTGTACGTGAAGAATCGCACAAGAAAAAGCTGTAGTCCTTCTTTGAACAAAGTGTATGTCCAGAGGACCTCAAAGATACTGACAGAGTAGATCAGGTGCCAAGGGACAGGGCTCCAAAGCCGCGTGAGATGCCCAAGGCTGTCCTGGCTAGCCAGCAGTTTCTGCTGTACATGTCCCAGCTGTGTGCAGACATCAAATGACATCTGTGGTGCCCATGAGGACATTAAAGAACAACCTCTAGGCCCAAGGCTCCCTCCTCAGGTCCTCAGGGTTCGTCAGACATAAGTGCTTCCCCTGCTTAAAGCATAATAAATGTAATGAAGGACCCTGCAAGCTGTTAGTGACTGCTACCTGCCGTGCATTTGTTTATGCCCTTCAAATGCCAATAACCAACTGCTTGCTTTTTCCCTGGAAAATCTTCCCGCATTTTTGCCATTTCTTTCACTCGCCTCATTTGCAGTCCTCCCTTGTAAATTCAAGTAATGAAATGAGATGAGAGGTCTAGAGGGCCCAGTACAAGTACCTGGCCCACAAAGAGAGCCACCATGCAGCAATGCCGGAGTGTGTAGCCCGCCGTGGAGCACTGGTCTGACTCGTACAGCAGGAAGAAGCAGGAAAAGTCCCTGTGGGGCAGAACAGGAATCCTTGAGGGCTCCGTGTCTTTGGGTGCCACAGGACAGAACTGTGCGTGGCTACTTGGTACCAACCCAGCGCTTCTGGCAAGTGTCAGATTGACTCTGCGTGCGCTGAGCAGAGGCTGCACCTTGGTAAATCTGAGCAGCGGGATTTAACGGGCTGCCCCAGCACACACCACGCGACTGTGCATTGCGTGTGCACGGGCACAGAGTGGGTTCAGTGCTTCTGCACCAGGAGCACTTGCTCTGTGTGGGTGTGTGCAATCCCCCCCACACGCTAAAAGGCATGGGAATAGCTGTGCAGGCACCACGTGAGCAATGTGTGCAAGGGGCAGAGCAAGCACTACCATCCTTTCATGTCTGTGTCCGCAATGGAATAAAATTGTATGAAATGAACCCGCAGGAAATGTTGGGCTCTCCTGCTCATGTGCTACACAGCAGATCTATGCGTGTGTTTTAAAAATGTTAGAAGGGATTCACGTCTGGCATCCTGCTTGGATTCCTGAGGATAAAAAGAACCAGTGATAATTTACCTCCAAATTAATCAGAGCAAGGAGAGACAAAAGACTAGCAGAAAATTTCTAATTTGTTCACTGTGAAATGCTTAACAAAATCATTCCCTGTTATTATAAATTTATGGAATTTCAGTGACAGTACATTAATCAACACAATAAAACTGATATACATATTTGATTGCCATGAAAGGACTAGCAAAATGAGCTGTCCTCCTCGCAGCTAGCATTAAAAATAGGTTAGCAAGAGCATATGCAATGCTAGGCACTTAAACAGTTCATTAGTTCCAATGGGACTAAGCATATATTTAAGTATCTTGCTGAACTGGAACGTAAGGCAATCAGAAAGATATTGTATTGCATGCATTTGTTTTCCCCACATGCTGAACGTGGTGGTAAGGCATTGATTTCTAGCAAATGCCCTACTCCTCCTTCATTACTGCAGCTAGATCTCTGCTGAAGTGTAAATAACCACAAGATTATTGAAGCCTTTGCAATGCTGTAATGTTAATTTTAACGAGACACCACAAACGCCTGAGAAAAGTATGATTCAGTTGTAGGTGGGTTGGTAAGCAAATGCTTTTTTATTTTTGAGTGACATGTGAGTGCTGTGGCCCAGCAGTGAACTCCAATTTTGAAATGAATTAAATAATGTTTTGCAGATGGTCAGAAAGGGGAAACTAATTTACAGTATTAAAAAACAATCACAAATACTGTTCAAGTATTACAGTGGAAAAGAATCAACGCATTCTTGAAACTAATTAACAACAACAAGGAAGTATTTATTAGACAGCAAGGCAAAGCTTTACCAAAAATACTAAGCACACACACCCACACATCATAAGCAGTGCAGTCGACATGGACCTGTTTACTACTGAGAGCGATTAGCTGAAACAGGCAAACGTTAGAGCAGTGCATGAAACGCAGCAAATGCTTTCTGCAAAGGAGCTGTAGCTCATCCTCTTACAGGGTGTCCCTCATATTTGCTGAGAGAAATGGAAAGCGTGCATCTTCAGCCAGATTTCCGTGTAGGGAGTGCGAGTCAGAGGGAGATGGACAAGGAAGGAAGCGGTGCCTCCCTGCGCCTGTGCTCTGCACCGCAGCGACGTCCATCCGCGCTGCCAGCCCCCAGGGAGAGCATGGAGGCTGCTCCCCACACTCCAGGGCCCCACGTTCCTGCCCACAAGGGCCCCACACTCTTGGTGTCACACAGGAGCAGGGGGTTGTGGTGGCTCGGCGGACGACCAGGGGAACCCAGGGCACACAGGGTTCCCAGTGGTGGTGCCCTGTGCTTGCTGCCTGGCACCAGCAGCCAAGGGATACGGCATGTCTGTGATATTGGATGAGAAAATCGTTGAAATACAGCCTGGAAAACCTGCCAGAGATGCTGACCGCTTGGAAAGATATATAACTTAGAGCATCCGGCAGCTTTTGCAGGAGTGTTTACTGTCTCAAAAATTTTCACAAATGTAATGCAATTTTGCGCAGTTTCACGGAGGCATCTATACAGTTTTATTAAGGAAGCATTCATTGCTTTGATCTTTCCTGAAGAAGATCTATGCATTTGCAGACCAGAATATTCTGCCGACGCGGAGCATTTTCTCTTGGCAGGATTCCAAGCATCAAAATGTAGGCTTTTGTAGCTGCGGTGAGTAATCTGTCAGCAGGGAAACCATGACAGCCTAGAAGAGGGAAAAAGGGAAAAAAAATCCAATCACATCAGAAACAGATTCTCTATAAAAATAAATAAGGGGAAAATATTTTCTATCTCAGAAGCCTTGTGTTGAAAATTATTGTCCTGACAAAAACTGCACACTTAGATTTATTTGCTAGAGTTCCTCATGATGAATCAGGAAAGACCTGGAAAATCTTTCAGAGTGTTCTGTTTAGTAGCTGATAAGTTTTCCCAGTCCAGCCAACATATATTAATGGTCCACACAGGGGACATTCAGACACAGCATGTTTAGACCAAACACTAAGCTCCTCTTTGTGGGGCATAGTGTCCTCAGCTACTCCTAGGAGGTGTTGTAGGTACCCAAGCAGTATGTGGCTGCTTTTGGAGGCTCCAGGAGAATTTCCATGAGCATCAAAGATGGTCATACCTGAATAAGGACTTTCATATCCCAGTTTAGTTGCATTTTTTTGCAGTAAAATCTGGAAAATCCTAGCTGAGGTTGATGGTCTGCCATTTTCCTCTTCTGCCCCCTTCAAATACTTCATATACACTTCCATAAGCCTTGGGCATGGCAGACAGCAATGGAAATGCCAGCTACATAAAATACATGATGGAAATAGCTGCTTTGGTCCCCTCCCCACACTGGTACAGACAGCAAGCCCCTGTGCTTTGCTTTGCTTTGCTTTGCTTTGCTGAGGCACTACCCGGATCACACGGCCGTCGTTTCACAGAATCACAGAGTGGTTGAGGTTGGAAGGGACCTCTAGAGCCCATCCAGTCCAACTCCCTGCTCCAGCAGGGACACCCAGAGCACAGCATTTCCCAGCAAGGTCAGGCTGCAAAGGGGCACATTGGCCCAGAACAGGTTTTCCAAAGGCCCTTGGAAATCCAAGGGACCACAATCCGGAGCGCTGTGGTCTCGCTGCCTGCCCTTCCTCTCCCTGCAGCCCTGCTCAGGGAGACAGGGAGTCGTGGGCATGTGGCGGGGATGGGGCAGCCCCACGGCCACGTAGCCCCACGGCACAGCCCCACGTAGAGCGGCCGCTGGACGAGTGAGGGATGCTGCAGTCCGCTGGCTCGGCTGAAAGCGCTTGGAACTCACACAGCAACCAGACCCACGCGGTCCCCTTTGCTGCTTGAGAAAATCAAACCCTGACATGTTTTGTTTTGCTTTGTTTTGTTTTTTCCCCCAAACATAACGTGCAGGTTGAATCCAAAGTAAAGGTTTTGTGTTCTCTAAAACAACGTCAAGGCATTTAGTAACATTTGAGAAAGAAAATCAGTAACATGCCAAATATTCAGAATTTTAAGGCCAAAAATACACATTGAATTTAATATAAATTGTTAAAAAAAAAAAAAAACTCTGATAAAGTTCAAAAGACATATTTCTGGCAAATATAATACTCAACCACATAATCACGTGGGGCAAATGCAGAGCTCTTCTGAGAGCTGCGCTAATGCCATTTCAGCTTTTTTCATTGCTCTGAAGGTTTTCACCAGCTTTTGTCAACATGGTGCTTCTAAAGCCAATAACAAATAACAGGCTACTGAGTTCTGAGAGTAATTTTCTGAAATCCTAGAAATGTTGAGAGTTATGGTTTATATTAAAGGCCACACGTCCTGTTGTGGTTCCCAAGGAACACACAGGGTTACCAAAGCCATAACTGAGGGTCCTTAGGTTTCAGGGGCCTTGAAAGATTTCCTCTGGCTGTGCTTTCTCAGAGAAACTCACAAATTTTTTCTCAGCAGCAGCATTTCTTGAGCAACAACTGCAGCAGTATCTCTAGCACTGCCTGCTCTAAGGGAAACTGTAGTCAGTAAGACCAAGCCAGCATCTAGCAAGCTTTGAAATGGAGGAACCAAGTCAATCGTTACAATGAACCCAGGGAATTAATATGAAAGTTACTATTTATACAGTAGATTTCATTTGGGGATAAAAACTGGGTCAAGCAGCAGCAGATTATCATCAAAATAGGTTACATTTGTGGCCAAAAACATTTGTGCTACACATATAGTCAAAACTATATATGCTGCTGGTGCATTTGAGATATATGTCAATAAACTTAAGGTTTATTGAGGAAGGAGGCTTATACCAAGCCTGTTGTGAAAGGCTGAATAAAGCCTGACTATAACCTCTAACTAGGTTTTATTTTCATTTCTTACCATAATTGTCCACTTTCTGTTTTCAGCCTCCTGGAAAACCAATGATTGTGGAGAATAAAATATTTCATCATCAACTTCTTCTGGTTTTCGGGGTAAACAGTGTAAAAATGTCCAGTTGGAAGCAGCATATTTTGCAGTCTGTAGATCAAAAGGCATATAAAAATAAAGGAACATGCTAGGGCATTAATGAAAACTTTAAGTGGTAAAAAAAGTTAACAAATGATATATTAGCTCCTGCTCTCATGACTTTGATGATGAGCTCAGAAAAAATACCAGTGACATCAAAAGAACTGCCCATCTGTGAATAAGATGGGAATATCCCCACTCAAGTCAGTAAGAGTTCAGTGCTGACTTCAGGAAAACCAAATTTTATTCCAACTTTTGTGGCTTTAGGAGGGCAGTAAAACACTAGTAGCTTAGTGGATCAATACATTGGAATGCCAAATAGTAATGTAATACTATGGATAATTGCAACAAGAGTTTATTAAAATATGATTTAAAAGGCTATGATAAGGTTTTTTTAATATATTGTCACTCATCATATATTGATCTAATATCTGAACAATGATCTAAAGCACTTTACGCCAGGTCAGTTACATACCTGTTAACAGCATTTTGTGAACTTATATTAAAATGAAGTCAATTAAAACAGTAAACCTATTAGCATGGAAAATGTCCTTTCTATGTTCAACAATGAATATTTTATGACTTTACATTTTGTCTGTTTTTTTTTCCTGGTTATTTTAGCTGTATGATTTTTAAGGACACATCTATTTCCCAAATTCTGCCTGGGCTACAGACTTTTAGACTTAACCTGTGAGCTGCTCATTAAAAATAAAACATAAGGCATCTTCCCTGGTGGCAAAGAGAAAATACAAGGTTAGAACTTTTTATGTCATATCTGAAGTTTTTTGTGTCATCGAGAAGTAAAGGGCTGGCGCTCTCACTGCTTGTGTTCTGGAGTTAGATGCCATTGGGAAGCTCTGAGAGGTGCCAAACCATGGGAAGAGCATGAGCTCAGCTCAGCCTCAGTGTCTTTGTGAGCTTTTCAAGCTGGGATTTGCACATGAGGTTTGCATGTGGTTACTCAGTGGCCTCACTGGAAAAAGCACCAAACCCTTGGTTTGCTGGTGTTGATTTTCACAAATATGACTTACAAAAACATCAACAAAAAATAAATCTGAGCTTTTACCTGCATTGTAATCTGATACCCTTGAAATGCCTTTAGTCTTTCTTTCTTTTCTTCTTCTTGCCCCATGCTTATCCATGTATCTGTAGCTAAGACATTGGCCCCACTTGCAGCTTCCAAAGGATCTCTTGTGAGAAGTAACTTGGTACCATACTAACATGAATAAAATCAGGAAGATTAGGAATGTAAGGAAGTTTAACTTCATTTATAGCATAAAATAAACTCTATTCTAGCTGCTCTATTAGGTTATATCTTAGGCTTATACCTCTTTGGAGTACTGTTCAGCTTTTTTAGTCATTCTGCAGTCTGGTTCAAAGCCCTGCCAAAAGAGAAGATAGATAATATTACAGAACATACTCACTTGTTATGTTTTAAACTGATTCTTTGTTTTATATTTTATATTTTATACTATATTACAGTGCAGCATTCTAAAAAGATGAACTTAAAATACTTCCGCCAATCTGCAATGATTTTTACATTTTTCTTTGGTGACAAGTTTGGGGATGTTTCAGTGCTTTCTCAAATGGATTTTACTTCCCCCACAGAGCCCCATGATTTATACAGCAGTCACGACTTCCCCTCAGCCCCTCTGAAGCTGGATCATTATAGTTACTCCTGGTTTGCATCAAAATAACTGATCAAGATTCTGAACTGTTCTTAAAGCTGATACTCAAGATGTGTGCCTTGGCAGGCATCCCTAGCCAAGGCCCTTGGGAAGGATCCAAGTGGCTGACATGGGAATTGGCAAGGTTGGATCTCCCTTCTCCGTGCACCCAGCTTTCTTACTTTCGGAGTTGCAATACGGAGGTGCATTCCCAGCTTTGCAGCACTCATCATGATGGAGTTGAGGACGTTGTTGCCATCCCCGATCCAGGTCACCGTGAGCCCCTTCAGACCACCGTAGTGCTCCTGCCAACCAAATCACACAGAGCCAGGCTGCAGCGGAGGGAAGCAGAGCAGGCTGCATTCGAAGGCAGAAGACAAGATGGATCAGGCCGGTGTGACCCAGGGAAGGCTGGGCCACAAGCTACCTGCTCTCCACATGGGACTATGGCACTGGCTGAGCTTGTGGCAGCTACAAGATAGTCAGCAAGGGAATGTGCCTGTGTCTTGCCTTTTATGAAGACCTGAGAGTTGTAGCTTTCTCTGATGAGGAACATGTGATTCATATGCCATACAGAGGCCCAGGCTGCCAAATGCACTGGTGATTTCAACACCAGAGCTGCAGCTGTCTGCTGGTGCTCAAAGGTGTCAGTGAATGGTAGGAATTGTTAACTCAGTTCTAGTGACCAAGGTCCTCCCAGTTTTTTCCCAAACTATCTAATTATCCCTATTTAGGTTTGATCTGACTTCTTGTCTCTGCATTACGTTGCCTTATACAAAATGGCCCTGCCCTTAAACTATATTTTAACCAATGTTTTAAAAGCAGCTGTGCCACTCATGGCTAGTTTCACCTAGTCACAGAACTGATGTTGGAAGGGACCTCTAGAGATGATCTAGTCTACGCCCCCTGCTCCAGTAGGGTCACCTGCAGCGTGTGGCACAGGATTGCATACAGGTGTCAAAGATCTTGCTCCATCATCTCCACTGTCTCCATCTGCCTTCAGTTACATAGCCAAGGAAGGAAGTGATTGCTAAGACTACTAAGGTTATTAAGTAGATTACCCTCACCTGAGACAGTGTTACAGTGCTAACTGCAGCTTTACCTGGTTGCACACTGCACACATGCAACTACCCTGGCTCTCAGACAGCAGCAGATAAGGCGTAAGGAGGAGCAAGAGCAGCATGAGTTGTGCATTTCCAGACCAGAACAATTAGAGGGCAAAGAGGTTTGTTTTAAATATGTATATTTTTAAATATGCGTATTTGTATGCACTTAAGTCGATATCAGAAAATATGTAAAGACGTAACCATACACTTCTCCATGCCTGCTCTCCACAGCTCCACCTTCTGACTCAAAAGACATGATGGGAGCCTTCTGCTCTCCCGGCACCAGCTCAAAGCTGGGCCATGCTGCCATGGCACTGCAGGAAGCGGGAGCCAGGCACTGCCTGGGCACGTTGTGTGACATGATTCAGTGCTCACCAGAGAGCAGCGGCCTCCCTGCTGCAGAGCTGTGCTCACTGGCAACCTTGCAGTCAGCCTCAGTGAAGATGCCAGAAGTCTGAACAGGAAAGGGGCTAAAATGACCCCCTCCCCTCCTGGCAGCAGCTTCTCCTGAACAAATATTTGTGAAGCTGCTTCGGAACGAACCTAGTGTCATTTCTGCCAGTGATCACAATTTTGAGTCCAAAATAGTAGTGTGTGGAACATCTGATGACATTAAAATGCAGTTGTGATCTAAACCTCATAGACTCTTAAGCTGCCTACAATTTAAGTGCAGTCATGCTGGTGCCTGATTTCAGACTAACTAGCTTCCCAGCCTTTGGTAGCAAGCCATCCCTTGTCGTTTTGTTCACTTCTTGTAATTTCCTTGCTATTCTCTCCCTAGTAAACTATCATTTTGGCAGCAACAACGCTCACAGGAGAAGGACAAAATTAAGGCATTGAAGAGGTCATTTGCAGCTACGAGTTAGTGATAGTTGAGGCAGGAACCCATAATGAGGAGCAAATCAGACAACCCTGACTTCATTTGATCTCACTGTTTAAAAATAGGTATCTCAGCATGTGGTATTCAACACTGGCTGGTTGGCTGACTAGTGACTCACAGATATATCGCTGTGTTAAATAACTTCCACCTTATTACCAGCTGCTACTCTGCACTAAAAGAAGCACAACACATCTCAGCTATTTTTGGCTGTTTCCCCAAGCTGGTCCAGATGAGGTTTGAAGGACTGGAGATGGCCACACAGTGACCCTCACAATCTGCACTGCGACTTGCAAAGACAGGTCTGCAGTGACTGCTGTGTAGAGGGTACATAGCTGAGTAGGTCTTAATGAAGATATTTCACTAATGGAAAAAGCCCTAGCTCAGCATGTGCCAGGTAACTCCAACCTCTTCATTTAAAGCCAGCACGATGGGATTATGACTGTAATACATGTCTAATCGGAGATAGATTCATTGAATCATGGAATCATTATGCTTGGCAAAGCCCTTGAAGACATCCTCAGCCTCCAAGAAAGACTGTGAGAAAGATGAGCTGATCGTGTTGCTCAGAACCAGGGAGCTCTAGGGTGATACAAAAACTACATTGTGTGAGACACATTTTCTTTCTCTGCTTTACAGTGCATGCTTATATAACTGCACAGAGAAAATCCCACAAAAAGTGGTTTGCCACAGTGGCAGCAATCTAGGCTAAACCAGAATCTTTGCAATATGCCCAGATTGCCCCATGCATCCCTGTCCATTTTTTTCCAAACCCTATTATACTGGGGTGGACATTTTAATTGCTTAGGTGTTCTGCAGGTAATATACCTTTATATTAGGGATGAGACTTCAATATATTTTTTCTACCTCCAGTAACACCACACACACACTAATAATGCAGAAAGTTGAAAGCCCTTCTACCTTCCAAATGCCTCTTTGGCAAACTGGTGACCACTTCTATAGTGCTCCTGCTATTCACATGAAAAAATTCTGCAAAATGATTAATGCTGATTTAACAATATCTACTTTATCATGCTCATGCTTATTTTACTGTGTCATTCTATTCTTACCCATGATTTAGCATTGCTGCATGCTCAGAGAAGACCAGTTTAGTTAATTAAGAACTAACTCTGTGTCTGGACTTATTTTCCAGCTAGACTGAAACTCTGACACCAGTGTAGGTTGATACAGAAATGTTTGACAGCATCACTCATAACATCCTCAATTACAAAAAGCTTTTGAATAATAAACTGATAATTTATCAAACCTAAAAATGGGAAGCAAAGAACTTGTCAAAGCTGTAGCCCTTCATGAGGCAGCACAACCCAGCAGATAAGAAATTGGGCAACCTGGCATCTAAAGGCTCTCAGCCTGAGCTGAGCAGGGATGCTGGGCCAGTTATCCTACTTATTCCCAGCTCTGTATTTGTCATGGTTATTGAGGCAGGATATTCCAGAGGATTGGTGTGAATTTTACTTAGGATTTCTAATTGGTAGAATAATGATAATGATAATGGTGATGAATTTTGGAACAACAAAATTTGAGCTCTTTGGGTCACAGAATGAAGACAGAGAAGTTGAGAGAGAATACATAGCAGCCCTCTTCAAACTGTATAACACTACAATTTGTTATGTTATTTAAAAAGAAGCCACCTACCTACTTCAAAAAGCTGCAAAGAATACTGACAAGCTAGAAGAACCTATGTAACTTCCTATATAATGTTTGAAAATGAGACAATCAAAATCAGAAAAATAATAGTGCAAAATAAAAAACAAAATTTACAAGAAAGGGTACTTGAATTACAGAATATTTATTAGGATTAATGCTGACACAAAGTTGTTCAGTAAGGATAGAGATGGAGAAGCAGATTTAAAAATCTCCTAGTTGTACTTTCGAGAGCCCAAAACAGCCAATTTCATGTTGGTGATGCTAGGTAGGCAAAGAAACCACGACAGTTATAACCTATCAGCAGAGTTACATTATATAATTACAACCAAACAGCAGAGTCCAGCATCTCCCTGTCGAAACCTTTGCTATTACACCAACCGCTCCTGCTGTAGAGCGCAGGTTCGCTGCAGAGCAGGGACGTGTGGGGCTAGCAGCGCACGGATCACCCTAAACCCCCGTCAGGCCGCCTCGCCATCGGTGTCAATGGCACCGATGTCACTACCCGGTCTGTGTAACGCTGCCCCTCGGCCGGGCTCCGGAGAGGGGCGTTAGCGAAGCCGCGGCCTCCCCTCGGCGCCGACGGACCGAGGAAGGGCCTGTCGAGGCCTTTCGGCCGGGCCGCCAAGCAGGGCGGCACAGGCGTCGCCTCGCAAAGCCAAATCCTCCCACTCTCCAAAGCAGATGGCTAAGTGCTTGCCACCATTTGTGGCGCGTTGTAACTCCCCTCAAGAACAAACTCAGCTCGAGAAAGCTTTTAAGAAAGAAGGTCATGGGTATGGCAAGAAAAACAGCCCTCTTGGCATTACATGTGTCACTGCGCTTAGGCAGCTAGTGTGGGGGGGCCCAGGCTGCTCAGGAAGAGGTCACAAGGCAAGAGGATGTTGAATCTGAAGAATCCCCCCCTCATTTTCATGACAGGAGCACAGCTTATGATTTGAGAGGAATATTCTGAATACAGAATATTTCTTTCTCAAGAGGCAGCCCTGAAAAATACGCTAGCTGCACTGTTTGGGAATGCTCCTGTGACAGAATTTACTAAAGCAACAATAACAAAACCTACTAAAATACACCTGTGAAAGGGTAATGAGAAGCCCTGGTACATCAACCCAAAAAAAATCTCACAAAATGAACAGGAAATTAGGCAGTTGCAGATGAAAGACCAAGCGTTTGAAGAGGATTCAAAAGGGCAAATGACAAAATTAATAGGATTCGGAAAAGGGAAGAGCAAAAATCTACTAAAGCTGAAGAGGGTCAAAGAGCACTTAGAGATCCACTGGCAAACACAGAAGTCCTAGGGATAGAAGAGAAAATAAAAGTGCATTTTGTGTATGCGCTGAGAGCAGGGAGGGCCAGATTCAGGCAGAAAAAAATTTACAGAGATACAGAAGAAATATTTTCTCAAGTCAAATAAAACAAAACAGCTGCATAAATTCTCCATGCAGCTGTTTATATGCAATAGAAGGCAATGTATGTCATTATCGTATTTTATATGTATGTCATGTATATGAAGTACATTTCCTTTGCACAGCAGGAAAGCAGCCCAAATGCTATATATAAACTTTTGCCTTATTTGAGGAATCAGCAGTACTATCCAACACCCCTGGATTAATCTTCTTACAGGCAGCGCTCAGAAAACATATGTTGTCACCCTAGCAAATCCCATGAGAAGCTGGGCTTTGGCAAGGACCAACCAGATGCTACCACTTCTCCAAATAAGTGACTTCCGCTTTTTTGAGCATTGTTGCTACTTCTGTGGACAGTTTGGTGTGAGATTACAATGTTCTTTGGTTAAAGGCTGCAAGACCAGGGTTCTCCAGCTCAGCACACAATGCAGCGAAGCACAGAGGCACCAGAAGGACAGGGTGGGAAGGGGGAGCTTGGCCATATCCACTCACTCTCTGCCTGTCCTGGGTAAGAAAGCAAGAGGGGAAGAGAGAGAGGGTCATCAAACAGCAGCTCAGCACATTGCTGGTGAAGGTGGGCGGCCATCCGAGTGTTTCTAAAAGGACCCTGCATAACACTGGGCTAAAGGATGTGCTGGAAAGAGAAGGGGAGAGGTGGGAATGGGCACAGGGAGCAATCTGATTTGGGGCACTTGAAAAGTGCTGAAAATATAGATAAAAAAGCTGCCATAGCTGTCTGAGCAGTAAGCCCTTCTTTGACATTTCTGTGAGTAGTGACGTCATCAAGCATGTCCAGTTTGGGTTTTTTTTTTGTTTGTTTGTTTGTTTTTTGGTTTGAGTACTAAGCAGCAGCCATGGTGCTCCTGTTTCCTCATGCTATAAAATGAGCAGGAATGCTCTTTCTAAAGACCCCCTTTCCAGTGTCTGTTGTAACAAGGACAGCGAGTTGTGGATACTACTCCAGGTAGTAAAACCAAAAAAAAAGTGGGGGGACATGTTCACCTGGAGCTTCTACCCTGTGACTGTGAGACAACCCTAACCAGGGGGAAAAGAGAAGAGGATCTGCAGGACGTGCATTCAGGCTGCTAATCTCCACCAGATTCCCTGAAGATCAGTGCAGAAAGAGGTGCATCTCTAGCCAGGGGCTGAGATGCTCATGGTCTCCCTTCGTTGGCCTCAAGCTATGCAGGAGGAATCCATTTTTTTACAGTTACACCCAATGTTTAAATAAGTGATGACACTTAATGACTGATGATGTATGGCTTACTGTTTTGTATCATTTGAACTGTTCTTCTAGGCTAGCCCAGAGTAATTTTTCCAAATGTTCCTTACCCTAAGGAATGTGATGCATTTTTGCCCAGAATTCACCACTTTGCACTAGTCTTTTCATTTATACTGTTGAAAATTTTATGAAAAAATAATAATTGAAGAATGAAGAGAGGAATTTCCAATAAACAGATAAATCTTTCAGCATTTAAAGCAGGAATATTTGCTACTTTTCACAACAGGTCTTTGCCACAAACTGAATGTCCCATAGCAGAGTCTTTGAAGTTTAGGAAACACAGCTGAACAAACCAGGAAATTACTCTCATCCTCCCTTTTCAAGCAATGGGATTTTTATTCACTCTGACAGGAAACAAGGTCAGAGTAGTTCACCTAAATTGTCCTACAATTTACAGTACCTACAGTGGAGCAACTTTTTTTATATAAGCTGGTTCCTCGATTGTAAAACAGCATAGTTATTCTGTTCTCAGATAAATATCTGTCATTATATGGGTAAAATGCTATAGAGCTGTCAAATAATGTATTGCATTTGATTAGAATTACAAAATATGATCTTTATAACTATTCCTTCATAGGAACAAAGCTTAAATAGGTTTTAAGTGCCTGAACATCAGGGATTTGCACTGGTAGCATTAATTCGCTTTTCAAGCTACCAACTAATTTCCATGTTACTAACTGGCTTTTCATTACCAACTAATTTCCTAATGTATGGATAACGATTCCTTTAAAACTGTTCACAGGTTAGGACAAAACTGAGAGTGAACTACTGTGTTTTTTGCGTTTTTTTGGAGTTTGTTGCAAAGCTTTAATCGGCTCTGGCTGAGCCAGCAACTCACATTTATCTTACCACATTTATCTAACCACCATTTATCTTACCACATTTATCTTAACACCATGCATTGCTTGATTTGTGGCCTAATTCTGATGAAATGCTTCATTTTTTGCTTAACTTCAGTCCCACTACAGTTGATAGGACTAGGTAATTGTTCTAAATTAAGCAGGTCCTTAATTATGCTGCTTGATGAAGATCTCTTTAAATAACTTGTCATGTAATTACTGATTAAAAAAGAAAACAAAAAAGTAACAAAAAAAAATAGGAATAAATGATTTTGAACCTGACTTTCCAAACAGTAACTGAGATCAAGATTCAGCAAAACAAAAGCCAGGGGGTATATAATGTTACCTGAAGAGTAAGGTAATCAGCCAGAATCTGGAGAGGATGGTGTGAGTCGGACAAGCCATTGATTATGGGAATTGTGGCTTCTTTTGTCATTAGGTCCAGATCAGCATGCTTATAAACTCGAGCTAGGATTGCATTTGTCATGCTGGACAGCACCCTAGAGGATGGCAGAAAATATCGGAGTCAAACATCAGAAATAGAGGCCCGTTGCACTCTTGAGTGTGCAACACATAAATATTAACGAGAAATGATAATGAATTTTTTTTCCAGCTAACTGAATAATTTATGATGTCTACATAACACACTTAAATGCAGACATTTAACAACTGCTAATAGGTAAGTAGTTTTGGTTATTAGCAAATCATACTAAATAAACGAAAACTGCTCCCATATTCAGTGCTTTTTCTCTGATTGTAGTGTTTTGTAGTTTTGTTTTGAATTAGCATTTATGAATGTTACTGAAATAAAACAAGAAATAGCTTGACAATGTAATATTTGAATATTAGATATTTGAATATTTGGTAACTCAGGAAGCAATAAGGTGTAACATTTCTTCAGTCTTATAGCAAAGAACAAATGTAGCATTGACAGAACATTTTAGTTTGCATGCTAACCTTAGCCACATGAGGATTAGGACTAAAAGTAGCTAGGAAGGACGGGGCCAAACTCTTCTTGATGGTGGCCAGTAATAGGACAAGGGGCAATGGGTGTAAGTTGCACCACAGGCAGCTCCATCTCCATGTGAGGAGGAACTTCTTCACTGTGAGGGTGCCCGAGCCCTGGCACAGACTGCCCAGGGAGGCTGTGGAGTCTCCTTCTCTGGAGATCCTCCAAACCTGCCTGGATGCCGCCCTGTGCCCCGTGCTCTGGGTGTCCCTGCTGGAGCAGGGAGGTTGGACTAGATGCTCTCTAGAGGTCCCTTCCAACCTGCACCACTCTGGGATTCCGTGGAAAATCTGTCTCAGATTACAACAGTTCTTTACTGACCTCAATGGAAACCAAAACAGAAGGCCAACACACCAGCAGCCCTTTCTCCCTCCTATCTACACAAATTGTATCACCACTCGAACAACATCAAAGTTTGAAACTCGATATATAGGTAAGAGCATGCAGGAATCAGTCTTACTTTGTTTGCCAAAAGGTGAAAGACTCAGAATTTAGCACAGTGGATTAGCATAACATACTCAATGCATACTGAATTTTTAGATAAATTAAACATAAATTGGGACTTAGCTTGGCATTTCTGTTATAATCAGGCCCTGAAGCATGACTTTATAGTAATATTTTGTATGTTTTAATATTATCTCTAATTGGGCCTTAAAACAAAAGAAGAAAGAGACTGAAGAGCGAAAAAAACCTGTAATGTTCATCTTTCTGACTAGCCACAAGGTCTTCTGATATCTCCTCTTGTGGAAATAGGGGTGCAAATGGCATAGTCTCTACCCAGAGAAACCTCTTGATGAAGTCAGTAACAATATTTTTTCTATTGGTGTCAAACATTCTGTACACGTGCAAAGCTCCTATAAAACATGAGAGAATTCTACGTGCGGCTCTCTCCAAAGAAAAAGATACATGAAAGTGAAAAGAAGGAACTGAATATTTACTGGCATATAAGGTATTGGAATAGTTGTTACTTGTGCCATTAATTCTTCCTAGCACACAAGTTTGTTTGCTTGTTTGTTTGTTTGTTTAATCTGCCTTAAATCATGTGACTACTGACAACCTGCTTTGATTTGAACATGTCATCAACGATGGGACTCATGATCCCTGTTCTTGGCCACCTAGTAGGTCTCCACCCTAAACTGGACATAACTATTCCCTCTGTTGCCAAGGAAAAGAGGAAGCTGCGTTGGGAAACTGCCCATTAGGCAGCTTTTTAGGACATTAGGTCTGCTGATCCCTATCCCATATGGCTAGTAAAGAATTCAGAAAGCTGCTTCTTTTTTAGTATATGTCATTGACCAGGTAGTGATCACTGATGTACTTTCTTCCTTATTCTGTTGATAGTAGACACTAGAATTTCTGAACACTTAGCACAAGACATCAAGCAGTCCTTCGTGACATCCAGTCCTGTGTCATCCTGACATCAAGTCATCCTTCGTGAAATCAAAACCATGCCAAAAAATCAACCAAAAAGCTAGATCTCATCTGATGGTCTGCTCTAACCAAATCAGCTTGAAGAAAATGGTGTAAGGTTGGGATTGCTTAAAAGAAGAAAAGAAAAAAAAATCTAGCTAAAGAAGGGTCTTTTATGAAGATGAAGTTTTCAAAAGTGAGGGAGAGGAAGCACTAGCTCATCAAGTGACTGATATTACCAGTTTCCTTGTGTTTGAGGGAGCGAGCAAAACTGCTCTGTTATCAAACATTCAAACAGCAGAAGTCCTTTCTTTCTTTCTTTCTTTCTTTCTTTCTTTCTTTCTTTCTTTCTTTCTTTCTTTCTTTCTTTCTTTCCTTCCTTCCTTCCTTCCTTCCTTCCTTCCTTCCTTCCTTCCTTCCTTCCTTCCTTCCTTCCTTCCTTCCTTCCTTCCTTCCTTCCTTCCTTC